ATGTCCTCCTGTACTGTGAATTCATGTGAAGGTATTTGGCCAGGATTACAGCAGGAAGTAAGAGATGTACAAAGCAGTTGATTCATAGGAATTTGGAAATGCAGAGGGGGAATGAATTTTATTTTTTTACTTCTAAAAATGGGAGGAAGAGAGAGGGAGGAGAGAAAGAAAACATTGCCTTGCTACTTGAGAAAAAAACAGGAAATACACAGAAGAAAGATCAATTATGTATTCAGATAAATGAAAGCTCCATAAAAAATAAATTAAATCCTCATTTTCCCCTTTCCAGAGATGATTCTGCCAGTAGTGTTCGTGTGTCTCGCAGCTGTGCTGCCTCCGTCCACTGGAGAGGTAGGATCCACACTTTGTACTCAGAAAATCTGGATGGGACCCAAGGCACTCGTGGTCTGACTGAATACGGCTTTCCTATGCACACTGATCATATGCAGAAAGAGTCTGATTAGGTATCTAGGATCTGGAAAGCATTTATCCTTGAAGTCTGTTTAATTTCAAAGCAGTAGACTGATTCCACACTTGCACACTAAACCATCTGTAGGCTCACTGTTACTTATGAGTTGGGTCAGAGATAACTATATTTTCCAGAAGCTCCCATACACAGATCCAGTAATCTGGATCTCCCAAAGATCCAGCCCTCTTCCTGTTAATTCCCCATACTTTTACAAGCAGCAATTACCTAACCCTCTCCCTTTCTTGTCCTACAGGTCCCGAGCTATGCGCCTCTCCCTCTGCTCACAGTCCCATCCTCTCAATGTGTATCACTCATTTCCCTCAAACAGCTAAACCAATTAACATACTCAGTGCACACTTAGAGTGGTTCCTCCCAACCCATACTTAGTCTGAAGTTTGAAGTTTGCTACTTCTGCTTCAGAAACACTAATGTGACTGAAGGCTTGATTACATTTCCCCTAATTCTTCAATTTCTGCTCTCCATGCTACAGCCCAGAAGACTAGTGAGAATGGTTGTAAAGAGGAGGCTGAGTTCTTCACATGCCTATTTTTTAATTAAAAAACACATGAAAAGTTTGAGAAATGCTATCAGTTATGGCAGGAGAGGAAGAAAATCTCTGGCATGAAAAACATAGACACACTTTTTTGTTCAGTGGGATGTCCTGATGAAGTACTGCGGGAGGTCTGTGACGATCCTGTAATTAAACAACAGGTTTCTTCAATGAAAAAACATTGATAGGCATGTTTAAAATACTGAAGAAGGGGAACACATCATAAGCACATTCATGTCTTCAGCTGATTTTTAGATCCTGTTTCCTCAAAACCTCATGAAGGAAATTATAATAATCATAAATTAAGTCTGACTCAGTTGCTTAAATTTAAGAGTCTACAGGCACGTGAGATGTTCCAGGATATCTCAGCCATCCACAGAGGGTTGGCAGATATGACACAGGAACCAGTGTTATTGCTGCTAAGCTCTACGCTGTGGAACCACTTAAAGTGCTATTCCACATGGAAGCACCCCTAGAGATACTTCGGAGACAGAGTGCATCACAGTACCTTCTCCATCGCAGGGATCATCTCCTTGGTTGATATTAGTATTCTGGTATTTTAATATTTCCTAGAGATGATTCAGGATTTAGTTACATTCAAATAAAGAAGAAATATAACATGTTCTTTCAATTTAGGAACCTGAAGGTTTTGATGCTCTGTCAACTAGCAAAGAGGGTCAGCAGAAGCTGATTGTTGACAGACATAATACCCTCAGGAGAGGAGTAAAACCAACTGCCAGCAACATGTTGAAGATGGTAAGTTGTGTGCTGTAAATCTGTTTGCAATGAGTAACGGACCCTATGAGAGATATAGGACTGTATACAAGGTCATATTATATTATTTAGCCACAAATTCACCCTTCGGACCTTTCCTAAGGATTGGGCATGGCCAGCATCAAGAGAAATATAAAGCTGGGCAGGTGGAAAAATAAGTCTGGAAAATACTGTGGTATATGAACAATAATGTCTCTTTCTTTTGGAGGAAAAAGAAAAGGAAAAGGAGGAGCCACGGCATTGTTAATTTCTTTCTGATGCAGTCTTCATCAGTCTTCACAGCTTCTATTCTTCTCCTGGGCGCATAGTAACTTTGTTCCTAGTCCCCCTACCCCCCAAAAAAGGGGAAGAAAGGATTTTATATATGATTTTTTCTGATTTGAAGTGTAATTTCCAACTGTTGTTCCTTCATGAGGGGTTATTAGTTGGTATGTGTCTGAATTACTAATATTTTCTTCTTTTATTAAGGAATGGTGTCCTCCGGCTGCACAGAATGCCCAAAAATGGGCCAATCAATGTACTTTAAGTCACAGTCCTGGTAACATACGGAGAACCAGTAAGTGAAGCATGAGTGCTAACTGAATAATGTCATACATGTTATTGATGCGACCAGTTTGGTTTTTGTTTGTGGGTTGTTTTGGGTTTTGGTTTTTTGAGACGTCATTTATATTCAATGTTATTTTGTTTGTGCATGAGGCAAAGGCAACATTCTAGATATAAACCTGCCCAGTAAGTGAGAATCTCATCCCAGTTGCATCAGTTTTACATAGGTTGTCGTGGTTTAACTTCAGTCGGCAACTGAGCACCACACAGCCGCTCGCTCACTCCACCCCACCCGGTGGGATGGGGGAGAGAATTGGAAGAGCACAAGTGAGAAAAACTCATGGGTTGAGATAAAAATAGTTTAATAATGGAAATAAAATGATAATAATAATATGATAATAATAATACACAAAGCAAGTGATGCCCAGTACAATTGCTCACCACCCACCAACCGATGCCCAGCCAGTCCCCGAGCAGCGGCCCCCCCCC